TGCCTAAATGCATGGCAAATGCCTCCTTTTATAGGCCAAAATTGAGAACTATTGATGTGATGACTAATTAATAAGTGAGTGACTAACTCTTGACTTAATGACAATACTTATCTTCTCTTGTCTGCCCAAAACGTCATTGGTAACGTCAAAATTGGAGCTTAAGTTATCACCATGAATACTTGACTACATTTACAAGTATTGACATTACTCAAATAAGAATAATTAATATAATCATGTTAATAATTTATAATCCAAGTGGAACCTCCTTTGTGTGTGGTTTCTAGTTAAGTAATAAAAAAAAGTTTACACTATACTTTTTTAAAATACCATTAGTGTATCCTCTAACCTTGATAATTGTTTTATATTTGATTAATACTCATATCAATATCACATCTCAAAAATTCTCTTCAATTTCTTTTTATTTGTTGTTTATAATTTTCTATAGTTCACCTCCCTATGGTTCGATCCCGGTCTTGCCAGATTATTTATTACTTCAACACTCCTGCACTTGGGATAAGACATCAATTTTTTATCTTGTCAATATGATATAAGTTGTATAATCCTATCACAAAAAAAGTGATTATGAGTAAATATGTTATCTTTGAAGAAGATAAAACTTGGCTATAAAATGATGATCAAGAAAAAGTTAAATGGATTAGTATTGATCTGATCCTTGAAGATAAAGTCGAAGTACTGAAAGTACTTATAGAAGGTCTAATATTACCAAGAGATGAGCCACAAACTATAGTACACAGATTCCCTATATTCAATAGGAGAAACACATTATGATCATCATCAATATTATCATTAACATCCTCATCAAAAGAACCAAGAAGGATGAGAAATCTAGAAGATTTATATGATGCCACTCAAGTTATGAAAGATACAACTATATTTTATTTCTTCATAGATAGCGACCCACTTAGCTTCAATGAAGCTATCATAGAAGAGAAATGAATAAAAACAATGGATAAAGAAATACATGCCATTGAGAAGAATGATACCTGTTAGCTAACTAATCTACTAGAAAGCAATTGGTGTCAAATGGGTCTATAAGATAAAGAAGAATGCAAAAGATGAAGTAAACAGATACAGAGCAAGATTAGTAACAAAAGGTGATAAATAGAGAGAAGACATTGATTATGGAGAAGTATTTGCTCCTATAACTTGACTAGAGACAATCATATTAATGATCTCACTAGTTGCACAACATAGATGAAAGACTTATCAACTTGTTATATAATCAACATTTCTGAATGGCTTTCTAGAAGAAGAGATCTATGTTGAACAACCACTTAGATACGTTGAAGTCGATAATAAAGACAAAGTATACAAGTTAGTAAAAGCCCTCTACGGTTTGAAGCATACTTAGAATATTAAAATTGATAGGTATTTTCAAGAAAATAGATCTGAAAAATATCCATATGTACACACAATATATATGAAGAAAAAAGCTGATGGAAACATGCTATTTATATGCCTATATGTTAATGACTTGATATTCACTAGCAATAATCTTATCATGTTTGAAGACTTTAAGAAAGGCATAGTACAGGAGTTTGAGATGATAGATATTGGTCTGATGACACATTTTCTTAGCTTAGAAGTGACACACAAACAAGATGGGATTTTTGTATCCCAAAGCGATTACGTCAAAGATATTCTTGAAAAGTTCAAGATGAAAAACTGCAATCCGGTATCAATTGCAATTAAAAATAGAGTAGAAATAAGGAAGAGTGAAGTATGAAATGTTGATCCAACCTACTTTAAAAGTTTAGTGTAAAGTTTGATGTACTTGACATATACTAGATCGAAATACTTTATTGAATAGGACTTATCAACAGATATATGGAGACACCAAATTGGTTTTACTTGAATGCAGCCAAAAGAATTCTTCGCTACATCGAAGGAAAAATAAATGAAGGTATATTTTATACTTCAAGTAAAAACTTCAATCCTTTTGGCTACTCAGATAATGATTGGGGTAGAGACCTGGATGAAAGGAAAAGCATAATAAGATTTGTTTTTTTATAGGAGATACATCTAATTGGTTTTACTTGAATGCAGCCAAAAGAATTCTTCGCTACATCGAAGGAAAAATAAATGAAGGTATATTTTATACTTCAAGTAAAAACTTCAATCCTTTTGGCTACTCAGATAATGATTGGGGTAGAGACCTGGATGAAAGGAAAAGCATAATAAGATTTGTTTTTTTATAGGAGATACATCTTTCATATGATCATCCAAGATGCAATTGATAGTAATCAAGTTGTGAAGCCAAATATATTGCTACAACTCAGATGTATGTCATTTAATATGGTTAAGGAATATGCTAAAGCAATTGGAATTTCCTCAGGAAAGTCTTACAAAGATTTATGTTGATAATCGATCGGTGATTGCACTAACAAAGAACTCAATGCATCATGAAAGAAGTAAACATATCAATACACGTCACCATTTTTATCCAAGAGCATGTGAAGAACAAATAAGTTAAACTCATATCTTAAAAAACAAATGATCAAGTTACAAATATCTTTACAAAGTCATTAAAGGGAGAGACATTTATCAAATTGAAGTTCATGTTTGATATAACATCCCTCAATTAAATTTAAAGAGGGAATTTATTGTAGTAAACTCAATCTTTAAGGTCAAAGATAACATTCACTAACCATTGACTAGTAGCCACCAACCGCAACTACCAACCGCCTTCATATTAACATTAATTATTGTGTTCACACTTGAAATCTAATTTTTTATATTTACAATTTGTGTACAAATAGGCAATGAAATTTATGTTATTATGTGTGAGAAATATAGGAGATAAACACTAAAGAGAAATAAATGGGGTGTTTCGGAGCTTAACAATTTGTTTACCAAATAAAACATATTGCATCTTTTTTGGGTGTTTCAAAACCACCGGTAATGATCTTTCCCATCAACATTGAATATGTGCATTCAATAATCAATATAAACTCATTTGGTATAAGTGTTTAGGATATTACAAGACCTGTATTAATTTATGTATACTATAATGTTTTTATAGTATTATATATTTCTGATGAAACATAAATTATACAAATTCTCACTCCACACAACAATCCACGCAAATACAACACAAGAAAATTCACTCCAAATGAAAAGAAAAAAAAGGGCACAACACATGGGGACTTTTTATAGGAAACTCAAGGAGAGTCTTGTTTCCTAGTTATTTTAAGGTTTACATGAATTTATATCACTCCACGCAACTCACAAACAAGCCTAGCAAGAAGTGCTGATACTGGCACTTCAGTTTTATTTTAATATTCCATAGCATCGTCAATAGCAGAAATCATGTATTGAACATCAGCATTAACATTTCTATGAATCTGACTTAGTTTGAAGAGCGAGCCTTCCTAATGTCCACCAATCTTTTCGCGAATCTGCACATCATGAATCCAGAGGTAGCACTAATTATCCATGAAGAAGTTTGTATTGGTACGTACTAAACAACTCATCAGAAATAAACCTAGACAAATTATTAAATGTTAATCGTACTCTGTAAGTATGTCTTCATTCTTTTCCACCAGATCTTGACCAATCTTCATGAGACATTTCAGGTTTTGTTCATCTGAGTCGTCCAACGCCGCGTCAATATAACTCATGTCAGCCTGATGGCATGATCAGGTAGCAACACATCATTTGTGACCAAAATAGAGTTAGTTTGGTACGAATTTCAAATAATGACTTTTCACAAAAAATACTTTTTTCTATAAATAATTTATGATAAAAATGAATTGCCGGATGAAAATGACATAAATAAATTTTTTAGAAAAATATATATTATATAAGTTAGAATTTATAATTTCACGTATGACTTTTACAAATTCATTTAAGTTATTTTTTTATTTTTAATTCATAAAAAATTATAGATATGTTTAGTTGGAAATAAATTTTTAACTAAATCAACAGTTTATTATAAAATTAATTTAAAATCTTATTTAATAAAAATTTAAAACTTTTAACTTGTAGGGCATCTCTTCTGGGAAAAAAAAATTAATGCTTTGAGTCATTTATACAAAATATATTTTTAACTTAAACTCATTTAATTTATTCTTATCATAAATTATTTTTTTTAAATAACTTTTTTAATTGTAACACAAAATTAAAAGTGAACTTTCATACGTGATATTAAATTATATTTCAATTTTATAAAAGATTTTTTTTGTTTATATTGAAATTTATTTTTAAATAATTATATTAAAAATTAATAAACAACTATAGATAGAGAACTCCTAGCCATAATTTATGGCATGGAGAAAACTATTTGATAAAAAATGCTTAATTAAGAAAATCCCGACTAATTATATTCAATGTTACCTGAATACGGATATAGTTTTCTTTTAAACCACGTGATTGAAAGATGCTGGACATATACATCTCAATCATTTCAGCTGCTGAAGTCATCAGAATATCAATCAATGGATAGGACTTCACGTGGCCCCACTTGTCATTTTTCCATAGCCAATTAAGGATGCCCCACTGGCTAGGATCTCCAACCTCTAGCTTATCCTTTCCATTTTGTTCCCCAGTTCCAAGGGACAGAAGAAGAATCTTGCTGTAATCGACCTTTCTCTCTTTGATTACCTCACATAAAGCTAGCAAAGACTGGTAATATTATCACATTGTGAGAAGAGAGAAGGCGTTGTTATTATCAAGTATTTTAAATTAATAGAAACCATATTCAATCCAGAAAAAAGGAAATCATACATTAATTTTTCCTTCATACTCCTAAACGACACGGGATTCTGTACTAACATGTCTAATTCAACACAAATGCTTGTTTTTATAGGGTTATAGCAACTTACAGGATTATTGGCTGCAACACCACCATCAACTAAGTTGAAAACCTTGGTGGTTGTGAACTTGTAAGGGGGCAAGTAACACGGTGCTGCGGAAGTCGCAATACAAACATCTGACAATGGAGGATTCATTGACACGTCCCTTTTTGCCTATAATTTTTTCATTAAAATAAAAGAAAAGAATATGAGATAACCTTTGGATAAATGTGTTAAGATTATGGGTATGAAATTGTTAGAAAATCTAGAAGAATGACCTTTAAGGTAGAGAAGACGGTTGGCCGACAACTCTTGATGTCAAATGTGGGAATTATCACATTAGTGACAGTCTTACTGATTACAAGTTCCTTCTCCAAGCGTTTCTTGACGGTCTCATGCAGCTTGGCACCATCATATTTTGGATGTATGAAATCCTTAAACTTTCTACGGCATGCTTCAGGAATTTTTTTCATACTCAATATGTTCCTTGCGAAGCTATCGAGAATGTTTACGTGGTTGTTGCTGCGGTAGCTGCTGAGCAGACTTTCTAGACTATAGATTATCACAAGATAATACACATCTTAGTTAAATGTGTGTATGCAAATGCCTATTGAATTTTTTTAGGGATGTTGTTGAATGCGGGAAAAAAAAATCATCTCATCTATTTTACTTACAAGTTCCTGATAGCAACCGTAAGATCTGGTATAAGATCGGATATATGTGAGAGGTTGAACTTCGTCTTTGCTTCTTTATCATGGCTATTCTTATCAGTAGATTCTTTTGGAAAGATATTTTTACTCTCGTCCATATAAAAACCAATAATTTCTTTTGCAGAGAACATAGGTCGTTGCTCAGAATTAGGAGCCGTAAGCATAGCTGTGATAAGGCCTCCTGTGCTTGTCCCAGCAATGAAGTCAAAATAGTCTGCGATCCTTACATCCTTATCATTCTCCAACCCCTATATCAACAGAAATAAAGTCATTCTAGCAATAGAGATCATGATGAATGCTAAACATTATAATATATCTAGTCCAACAGTTGAGCACAAAGTTAGCGTCTTCGGATATTATTCAAAGACATTAAAAACCTCACTTATACCATGTAAAAATTCATCTGACTTACAAATACATTATTATATCCCTCATACACAAAACATACACACTCAAACACATGAGTGCATATGTATAAGCATTGAGCAACAAAACCTGGAGTATTGATTCGAGATAGCCAAGAACTTCGCTGGGAATAATGCCTTTCACTCCTCCACCGTCGATGCTAAGGATTGTGATAACTTCTTCAAGAGGATCTAATTGATCTGAACATTCGCTCCCTAATATTTTCGAAAATATATATAAATAAAACAGCAGTATCAACAATATATTAATGATATGTAGGGTATAATATGTTTTAGTACATATTATACGAAGAAGAACACACGGAATTCTTGAGGATCAATTGAAAGCTTTCATACTCACCCATTGTACGAAGATCAAACTGGAATGTGTTGATTGGTGAGTGGTTGCTACCAGCACTTGAGGAGCAAAGACCGATGCTACCCCTTTTTATTTATTACAAAAAGGGTAATCCATTGATGGGACAGGATGAAAGATTTCAGGGGAAAAAAAAAGGAAATAGACAAGTGGACCAATACAAAACCATGTACATTTATTCCCTAAATTTTTTACCTTTTTTTAATAAAAATAAAAACTAAAATAATAATAGTAAGAAGACTGACTATATAAAAAAATTAGCTAAGAAGTTTTTGAAATGTAAAAAAATCAAGCTGCAATTTTAGATGCAATCGGAAGCCTAAAGAAACAATGTAAATTTAAAGTCAAATTAAATTATTATTGGATAAATCTGTATAGAACTTAAGTCTAAGGACCTAATTAGATTTTTAATAGGCCAATTTGATTTAATCATGGGTTAAATTAAAGTTTAATTATGTTTAAGAATTAATTTGGATCCAAATGAAGGATTTAATTAGGTGTAAGGACTTAATTATTCTTTAAATTGGTCAAATTAATTTTATTAAGAGCTTAATTGTGAAAAATTAAGTTTGGAGGCCCAATTTAAACTTAATTGAGAAGGTTGAAATTTTACGAGACCAAATTTAATTTTTACAAAGTCAATTAGTTCAAATCAAAGGTAAAATCATAAAAAAATCAAATTGTTTAGGTCAATTAAGGGTTAAGATGAAGAAATTTGTAGCCAAAGTCTGGAAAAAAAAAAACCAATCATTCCCCCTGTTTCCATTTTCTTCTCTCCTCGCTAGCTTTCCACCACTCCCTCCGTCGAGCCTTAGTCCTCATTGCTACCACCAACCACAGACCGGACTTCGCAGCACCACCACGAACACCACACTGTTTCCTTTTCTTTTTAAACCCTCCACCCCCAGCCACTGCATGGAAAATTAAGTTTAGGAGCTCAATTTGAACTTAATTGAGAAGATTAAAATTTTAAAAGATCAAACTTAATTTTTACAAAGTCAATTGGTTCAAATAAAGGTAAAATCATAAGAAAATTAATTTTTTTTTTATTCAATTAGGGGTTAAGATGAAGAAATTCAAAGCCAAAGTCTAGAGAAAAAACCAATCATTTCCCCTATTTCCATTTTCTTCTCTCCTTGCCAACATTCTGCCACTCCCTTCGTCGAGCTTCAGTCATTGTTGCCGCCTCCAACCACACACCAAACTTCCCAACACCACCAAAAACACTACCGACAGCTCTACTCCTCTATCCAAGTAAACCTTTTTCTTTTTCTTCCTAAACCACCCGACTAGCCATTGCATGCAAAATTTACGTGTAGTGATGGCTTAATTAAGAAAATAATGATGGGCTGGACCCATTGTAGCCTCACCGATAAGATGGGGCCATGTCCAGCCTACTTAAAAATAAATAAATAAAAGTTTATTGGCTTGTCAGCCACCCTCGTGAAGCTGAGTTGGACCCATTTCAGCCTACCTCAAATGGATGGACTAGGTCCAGCCCACCTGAAAAAAGAAAAAGAATGGTTTGTCAGGCCGCCAGTCAACCTAACTCGACGAGGTCGGGCTAGTCTAGTTTTAGCCCAGCCCAGATGGCTGACCTAACTTTAGTCCAATTTATATTTAGTAATATAATATTATATAATAACATAATTAAAAAAATTTTAAGGACTGTATATTTACTTTGTAAGATACAGATTTGGTATTAAAATACCTAATTTTCTATGAGACTGTTCTTAAAAAAATTGAAAATTAAAAAAATAAATTAATTTCCTCTTAAAAACAAAAAAAAAAATGTTTTTTTTTCTTGCATACGGTCTAAGTCTAAAAGCTTTCCAAATATATTTTCATAAAAAACAAAATAGCATCTTTATCATGTTTATGAAATGCAAAAAAAAAAAAAGATATCATAACCAGTATATGATTATCCATTAGGGTTTGGCTAAAATGTCAAAAATCCTTCAATAATTTTTTTATTTAATTAATATCTCGTGTTAGGATTTAGCTGTAGACTTTAATACTTGAGGTATAAAATTACATTATAAAGTATACTATCATGTATTAAAGGTACAAAGAGCAAAATAAATTTGATACTAAAATTTAAACTTTAAAATAATTAGAATTTAACCCGATAATATAGAGATTTTCTCATGAAAGAAAATCTATCTTGAACCTTAGACAAGACCAACAAATAGAAATTTGATCTACAAAAATAATTAAACAACAATGTAGTTTATCTTAGAGTAATGCACTTATAATGATGCATCTTAGACCAACAAAGGAGATCTACCTTGAACCTTAGATAAGACCAACAAATAAAAACGTGACCTAGAAAAATAATTAAACAACAATACAATTTATCTTAGGTATGGTGCACTTAAGGTGATGCATCTTCCCCTTGCATAACTAGTCCCTTACTTGGACTCTTATAGATCATATGTTTCTTAGTAACCACAATACTAAGTCGTGATTCCTGAATCCTATAATCATAATTTTATGATTATTCTGAAACTCTATTTTCAACACATATTCACAGGAGGCAGACCTGTCATCGCTTGTCCTACCGCATGCACCTCATGACAAGATGACAACTCTACTAGGGAATGTCTTGTCTAGTTAGACTATGCTTTGCTTCTTTGATTGTTTGTTTAATTAAACATTTATTTTTATCTTGTATTTTTACTTTATATTCATGCATAGGGACAATGGGTATGGATTAACACCCTCATACATTTTGCTTTTGTGAATAAACTCATTTTTAGGTTAAATAGGAAGTAGCGATTTGCCTTATGACTTTCAGTCAGGGTTCAGATTTGTAAAACATTCAACTATGAACTGAGTGTTTACACAGTAATAGTGGTCACACCGTGCCCCAACCACTCTTTGTAAACCCTATACTACCTTCATGTAAGGTGATCACTAGGCTATTTATAGGCCTTTTTTAGACCAAGTAGAAAGCTTACTCTCATGTAATGTCCTAGAACCTTCCCTTAGGATATGGACTCCCTAATAATTTATTTTGCATCAAGGCAAACCTAATCAATAATCCTGAAGTTTGTAGGATTTTTTGAGATAAGACTGATTTTTCTTTTCTGAATATTGGTAAGAATTTGAGATGATTGGCCGAAGGAATTTCCTAAAATCAAGTTTAAAATTATCATGCATAAAGGCAGACCCACCTTTATTTTTATTTTTTTTAACTCTCCACTTGGGAAAGATCCTTTCAAATTAATTAGACTATGGATTTTTGCTCAAATTCAATAAGAAAGTCATGGATTAGCTCTTTGAACAGGTTAATCCATACCCAATATGCATGTACATATATTTGTATAAATATACATTCAATTTAAATGACATACATGTGCTAGGTTGAAATATAGGTCCCCAAAGAGCTCCAATCTACAAAGTCTACAACACCCAACTCTTACTAAGAAACATGGAAAATAAAGAATGTGCTCATTGTGATGTTCACTTCCAAGAAGAATTGGATTCTCTAAAAGTTAGCATGGCTCACCTCATTAGCTTACTCAAGTAAGCACTTAGAAATATATTTGGTGAAGGTCCTTCCAACAGACCCATCACCTTTATTGCACATGCCCACGCAATGTCGATGGTGATTTTCATTTGTTTGCTTGTTGGATTTGATGGGAGTTGCCACCTAGTATTTCGTTCAAGGTCATTAGGAAACTCAGGTGTACTAGTCTTATTAGAGATTCACAGATAAGGAACTAATTATGATCAGGAAAGGTATTAGCACCCCTAATGCACCCTACCTTAAGTAAGCTGCTTCATGATTTGATGTGATAAAGAAGTTTTAAAGATTTTGTCTTTTCATTGGCTATTAGAAATACGACTTAAATGTAAGTTCATAATCCTTTACCATGAGCAAATCAAAACTTTAAATTCTTCTTTTATCTTTGTGGATTTATAAATAAATAAAAACATCCATAACAAAATACAAACACCCACATTCATTTTTACTATATTTTTTCCTTTTTTTTACATCCATATTTTCATGCTACAAATTATAAAAACTCAAAACTAAATAAACAATACATTAAACAATTTAAAATTTAAAAAATAAACCACCAAAAAATTCAAAACAGTGTTGGCTAGCCTTATAAGGTTGCAGGAACAAAGCGGCACGTCTTTTCCACACGCGGCGGGTGAGTTCACGCGCCACCACATGCATATCCACAAGAAAAGGGCGATCTAGAACAACTTCCTCCCCTTTTCCTTTCTTCACCAGTGGTGACCTGTAAAACACCTAAAAAACGCAACAAATAGTTGATTTTTTCTTTCTTGTTCACGGATCTATTTTTTTTCTTCTCTAATTTGGATAGGTTTTTCTCTTTACAGATATGCCTTTTTTTCACCTTTTTCTCTATTTCAAGTAGCTGGTGGAAAGGCCAAAAGGCTGTCGACGACTAGGCTTTTATCGTGTCTGGTCAACGGAGATGGAGAAAAGATTAGGAGATTGGGTAGCTATGGGATTGGCTTTACTGTTGCCGCCCACAACTGTTGGAACTATTATGGAGATGGGAGAGGTTACTGGCAGTGTTGAGGCAGAGACCTTGTTGCTAAGAGTTTTTGAACGCGTTCAAAAGACCTTTAAAAATTTAAATTCTTTTGAGACGAGGCTGAAAATGCTAAAAACAATGCAAATATATTAAAAAAAATTTTGAATTTTTATTATTTTTTGCTATTTTTGTATCTTTCAAAAAACTTTATCAAAAAGGTTAGTAAAAAATTTGTTAACAACAAAGCATCTTACAACAAAGCATTTATGTAGTCAACAGCACCGATGACAGCCCCTATAGTCGCAGATGCATTCACCAACGAGTCCTACAAGACAAATTCATTTGATAAGATTGATCAAGATAAGATGAGAGTATAGGAAGCTAGAATTAGGGCTATTGAAGGGGTAGACTTGTATGACCCAGTACAAGCTGTGGAGATGTGTTTGGTCTTAAATGTAGCTGTACCGAAGAAGTTTCATATTCTCGAGTT